CCCCCCCCCCCCCCCCCCCCCCCCCCCCCTCTCTCTCACACACACACCCGTTGGTCTCATCAGCGGTTAAAAGTGTTTGAAGATGGCCACTTTCATATAACCTCCTCTCTTGTATGAAATTAATACTACATGATTTAAATATTAAATTCACACAGAATGGATTAACAACCAATAAAATAGTGATCCATGATGTTATTTCCTAAATTCTAATAAACCCCAGATTACAGTATGGTATAATTTAACACAGAGAATATTTTTGGAAAGAACGAAAGAGATTCAGATACGTATTTTACAAGCCAAAGTTTATGTGATTGCATATCTCATATGTTTCATTTTACTAACTGGAAATAAGTAAGAGTGTCAAAATATTTGTTTTTCACTTTAAAAATGGCCTGTCTCTGTCTATTAGAAGAGATGTAGTGAAATTGCCTCGTTTTGCACTTCTCATTTTTTGCACTATTTCTATATAAGGTATCAATCAGTTGAACTGAGCCTGGATTATATTGAAAAACTATCTTTAAAGTTAGACAGAGAATAGGAAGGAGGAACTGAAAAAGTAAAAATGTAGCATTTGTGGAATTAATTTAGTGGGGTCTTTTTTTCTCCCCGAAATAAAAGAAGGAATTTTACTAGAGTGGTTGGCTCCATCAAGCATTACTTAGTATGATGGCCATGACTCAACATGGTGAGTTTGGGCTTAGTTAAACAAAGGAAACATTGAGGTATTTTTCAAAGCAATCTTCCAAAGTTCACATGGTTACCATCTGCAAATGTCTTGGAGAACTTGGCAATGCAACTGGAATTCAGTCTTCTGCAATGCCATAGAAAGATTGGGCTGCAATAACGAACGGCGTGGAGAAAATTTAACGGGTGACTTTCAAACCCTGGTTTATAAACATGTGTGGGATCGCAAACTCTGCTGTGCTCTCTCCCTAAACTTGTCTGTAGTTTGATTTACCCATAGTTTGGCATTTCGTGAACTTTGGCACAACGATCGATCATTGGAGGACAAGTTTCTGGATCAAAGCTGTCTGGTCCCACCATAGTCTTTGGTATCTACATGGGGGCATGAGTAGGGCACCAACTTTCAAATCACAGAGTTGGAAGGGACCTTGGAGGTCTTCTAGTCCAACCCCCTGCTCAAGGAAGAAACCCTATACCATTTCAGACAAATGGTTATCCAAATCTCTTATTAAAAATTTCCAGTGTTGAAAGAACCACAACTTCTGGAGGCAAACAGTTAAATTCCTCCTTAGTTCCAGGTTGCTTCTCTCCTTGATAAGTTTCCATCCCTTGCTTCTTGTCCGGCCTTGCAGTGCTTTGGCGGATAGGTTGACCCCTTGCTCTTTGTGGCTGCCCCATCTATTTTAGAAGATAGCTAGGCTCAACACCAAGCAACTTTGTGAGGTCCCAAATCTAATCAATTCAATCAGTTTATTGCTGCTGCCATCCTGGAAGACGTTCTGCCAGGGGCCAGCGCCTTCAAGCCTCACCAACTCCATCCTTGCGCACCAGCTGTTCCTTTGCAGCTCAGGATTATTTTCAATTTTCCCAAAGTGGCCCCGTTTCCCTTTACAAGTTGCACTGCTGCTCCAAACCATGGTTTGGATTTTTAAGGCATGATTATGAAAATGCTGGCTAGGGAATTCTGGGAGTTGAGGTCCACACGTCTTAAG